GGGGGGGGCTTTTGCTTTGCCAGGGCAGAGCGCGGTGACGCCGCGGCAGCCACCACGGAGAGGACACAGGACCCCCCCCTGGGCCCGCCGTGCCCCTTCGAGGGGGTGGCCTGGACCCCGAGACCCCCGCAAGGCCCCCCGCAGGGCTGCTTCGCCTGCATCGCCAAGCCCCCGGCTCTCCGACAAGCTTCGCCTGTCCTGTCTCCTTCTTCTGCCGTTTATCTCATGGAGAGCAAGAGCTGCAAAGGGGACAGCCTGCGGCCGGCGGTCCCGTGCAAGCACTCGGTGGAGAAGAAGACAATGACCAACCCCACCACTGTCATCGAAATCTACCCCGACACCACCGAGGTGAACGACTACTATCTCTGGTCCATCTTCAACTTCGTATACCTCAACTTCTGCTGCCTCGGCTTCATCGCCTTGGCCTATTCGCTGAAAGTGAGTACTGAGCGTGAAGCTCAGGGAAAGGGTTGGATGGAGAGGGAGGGGGCATTTGGGGTTTGCCCCTGATGTAAATCATGTCTGTGACACCTAAATGAAAGGGTCCCCCCCAGCTGGGGATGCGGATGGGGAGAGCTGAGGTGTGTTTTGGAGCTGGGGATGTTGCTTCGGGTGGGGAAGAGGTGCTTTGACTTGCTCTGGTACCCTCAGAGGCTCCTCTACCACGGTGGCAGGGTGATGGGCAGGCAACGTAGGGCTGCCTCAGCTCATGCTGTGCCCACAGGCAGCCCAGCACTCGGTCCCTTCTTCGGCATCTTGTTGGATGGAGATCTTGTCAGGATAGGATCCGGCAGCGTGGGGTGGTTGGGCAGAAGCAATGAGAAGCAGCTGGCCAGGATCAGCCGGCACCTGGCAAGTTGCAGGGGGGAGAGGAGGCTGCTGAGGTGCAGGGCAATCTGGTCCTTTCCCCAATTAAAACACCAGAGCTGTTGCTCATGTTCCCGCCCCCCTCCCCGAGCCCTGTAAATCCCAAGGTGAGCACTATAAATGCCAAGGCAAGCCCGGGAACCTGCCAGCACCACGGGAATGATACCCAGGTAGCTGAGGAGGGGGAAGAGAGCGCAGGGGGGCTTTGCACAGCATCAGGGCTTAGGGTAAATAGAGCCATGTTGATGGAGAGGGAGATGGTGTGGAGCACAGCCAGCGAGCAGGACAGGACTGGGTTACTCCCAGTAGCTGCAGGGGAGAACAGCCCGGGAGAGATGGTGCCCAGCAAATGGGCAGCCCCTCAGCAGCTGCCGGGAGAGAGGAGCCTGGGCTGCCCTCCCCTTCCCTGCCTGCCAGCCTCAAAACTAACTGAATGGATGTGCAGAGAGCCTGAGGCGGCTGGGTGGCCCCGGAGAAGAGCTGGCTGATTTGTTTTGGCAGGCAGCGTTTAGAGGAAGGCCAGGGCGCAGACAGGCTTCGTCACAGAAGCAGATCAATTAACCCCATCCAGCTCCCACGAGCCGGGCTGCGAGAGCCCAGCACTGCAAGGAGGGTGCTCCTGAGCCTGTCAGGGTCTCCAGCAGAAAGGCTCAGGGTCAAGCCCGTGGACCTGTGCCCTAGGCTCGCTCAGCACTGGCACCGTGGTGCCTGCCTCAGTTTCCCCTTCCCCGAGATGGGCGATGAGCACCCATCTGCCACTGATGCAGCAGGCTTCACTGCTGCCTGAGCCAGGCATTTGATAGCTTAAAGCATGCCACGGCTGAGCACCACCACAAGCAGGACTGACCCAAGGGCAAATCCAGGCAGCGGCAGCCTCAGCTGAGTTGGAGAGCGGGAGTCCCTTAACACCTGCACTCATTCAGCCAGAGAGGGGAGAAACTGGCTGCCTCATTTTTGTGTGTGTCTTTGCTCGTCTGAATTTGCCTTTAATGATCAGCGTCTTTTCCATGCAAGAGGAATGGTCAAAGTGGGCTAAGAAAGGGTTTCACGTCACGGGGACATGGCAGTGGCTACAGCAGGTATCTGGGTAGAGGCGGTCCCTCAGCTGCAGCCAGCAGTGGGGACAGGACAGCCTGAGGACCAGGCTGATGCATCCCCAGGGGACAGGATGGAGTAGTGTCTGCCACCTATAAGGTTTTTAAAGGATGGACCCTTCACTATCCTTGACATGAGGTGGAAGGAATAACCCAGGGCCGGAGCTTCGTGCCAGGGCAGAGGCGTGGACTCAGCATCTGGCTGCAAAGGTTTAGAGGACTTAAACTCTGGTGTGAAAAAAAGAAGCAGTAGTGAGGGAAGGCAAATTGGCAAATAACGTTCCAAATCAGGGAAAGGAAAACAGAAGATGGGTGTCAAAAGCCAGCCATGGATTTTGGGCTGCAGAGACGGGTAGCTGATGGGATATAACAGTGGTACTTGAACAGACGCAGAGCTGAGCATGTAGAAATAACCCTGCTCTGGTCTTGGAGCTCTTTGATTCTGTGGCAGGGGGGAAATAGAAATAAAAGGTCCCTCAAAGGCACAGGACAGAACTAGCAAGTGGCCAAAGGGATGGCGAATGCCCTTGTGGGCTGCTGTTGGCATGGCTGGTGGGAGGCAATGGGGATGCTGTGGTAGTAACAGAAAGTATGTCCTGGGGAAGACCACTGGGATGTTAAGAACGGCGCGATCCTTTCTGACTCACAGCTACTGCAGAGACCTTCACAACATCCCAGCCAGGCTGGATGTTAGGGTCACTTCTCCAGAAGCCTATTTTCATTTCTTTTATAGTCAATAAGGTTTTTCCCAGAAGTTCAGAGAAAGCAGAAGCAAGGAATGCCCTGGGGACATATGTCCCTTTAAACAGAATTCTCTCATTCCTCTGCAATTAAATGTAAGGACAATTTAGCAGCAGATAACTTAACATCCTTTCTAGGATGTCTGTGCTCTGCAGAGACCAAGTAAGGTGCTGTGGGAGGGAGAAGAGGGGAGCAGCACCTTCCCTGCCCTGAGCCCATTTTGGGACCTCTGACAGCAGAGCCCGCGGCCAGTGGAGCATGAGTTTCCTGGCTGAAGGGCCATCAGGGCACTGGTGGCATTAAATAGTTCCCAGGTTATGTTTTTTTTCCATTTCCTTTAAATAACTGAAACATTCAGCAAATCAGGAATCATCATTTTCATTATCAGAAATAGCATTTTCAATACCCTGCCATAATCATCATCTACTTTTGCCAGATTCATTCTGTTAATAAAGCAGTAGCTCCTTTGTGCCCCAGGTCCATGAGATGTTTCATTATGGACCCTAGCACACCCTAGAATTTCCATGAGTTTCAGCAACACAATGCCCACGCTGGGAGCCAGATGCATCCTTGGGGTACACTTGAATATTACCATGAAGCTGTCTCCTTGCCCATGCCCACTTTTACTGGCTTCAGCTGCAGCTGGGAAAATAGTACCTCCATGTCTGCCTGGACTTTTGAACGTGAGCTGCAGCCTTCTAGATGTCTTTCTGCAGAGAAATGCTATTTCACGGTGACCACCATACAGTAAAAAATGCCAAAAACCCACCCCAGCACCAAAGAATTCATGCTCTTACTGAAAGAATCACATAAAGTCAGGTGAGGGCAAAGACGGTGACATCCAAGCCAAGTACTCTGTGTGACAGACACCCCAGCCAAGCTCTCTGAATAACAGTGTGACAGCATGCCTCGTCTTTATTTACACCCATAGCGGGTCAGATCCTCAGCAGATGCAGCTTGCTGGGCTGCAACAGAGTCGCACCGACTCACATATCCCTCTGGGTGTTATTTCCAGCGTCTCAGGCTTCTCAAGGTCAGCCTCCTGGAGCACAAGCAAGGCGTTTGCATGTAGGCATGCACTGGTGCTGAGAAAGAAGAGGTAAACAGCAGGATGAGGGAAGTTAGAAACCCTAAAGTAACCTTAACCCCAGCCCGTCACAGCTGTGAGGGTTGCTCCAACAGCAACACCTTGGATGCAGGTGGTTTTCATCAGGACCAAATGTCATGGCCCAATATTCGGCAGCTGCCTCCTCTCCTCTTTCCCAGCTTCAAGTGTTGTTAATGAATGATGCATCAGTGCCTGGCGGCAGGAGACCTTGCTTCAGTCATTAGGAGGTCTGTCTCTAGAGACTGCTGGGGTGAACCAAGCCCTTCTCAGAACCCATCAGGCCATGAGGTGGTAGATCAGAGGAGCTGGGATCTGAGAGGAGCGGTGGTACGGTTGCTGTGTTGTGGTTGCATAAAGATGAAGATGGCAAGAAGCCCTGCTGGCCTTTTAAGCCCCACCAGCAGCCCAACTCTGCGGTTGCTCGCTGAGTTTTCCTGCCCCTGGAGGCCACCGAAATTTGCAGTGTGATGGCACCCCAGGAGAGCTGAGGTCCCCTGCCCTCTCTCTGCCCGGCCCTTAGCATGCAGCTCCGGGCACAGCTGTTTACCTTCCCCTCTCACCGTGTGTTGACCTTCCCCGTTTCAAGTGGAAGGTGACTGGCACAAATCCATAGCTATTTATTAACCCCAAGGAGCAGAGAGGCTGCGGCACCCAACCGCTCAGGCAGGCTCTCAGCCTAGTTTTTGGGAGGAGCAATGGTTTATGTAGGTGGGTGAAACACGGGGGCGACAGCCCTGTGACACCGGTGACGACATGGTGGAGTTACTCAGGCTGGAGAGCTCCGGACCAATTCACAGAACAAATAAGTCCAAGGATCCCCTCCAGAGCTCCTTACGTGTAGGGACACAGAGCTCTGCACAGAGATGGGTTTACAGACAGCCAGCTGTGGGCTGCATGCTAAAAGCTGGTCTGCCTTAAATACTGCCTCATTAGGCTCATTATCAACAAACCATTCGTCTCCTCCTGCAAGCTGAGGCAGCACTTTGTACCTGCACAGCAAGTTCCTTATTCCCAAAAACAAGAGGGGCTGAGCCCTAGAGCAGAGGGAGAGGAGGTGGCTGCTGGCAAAGGGACCAGGAAGGAGTGGGATGGTAAGAATCAGAGAATCATGGAAGTTGAGGGGAGAACTTGAAGAGGAAGCTGAAGGCAAAGCCTCAAGGGGAGGAAGGTCAGGAGACGGTGGTCAGAGGGAGGAGAGAAAGAGCCCTCAGGCCCTGGCACACTGGAGATATTAGAGAACAAGGTGAGGTGGAGATGGTGGAGGACAAGGTGAGCAGCAGGGAGGTGACAGACAAGCAGGATCAGAGGGAGAGGACACCACTGCCTTGTGGTAGTGGGAGAGGGGAGAAGGAATGTTTGCATGTTAAACCACAAAAGCAGGCTGTGTTTTGTGGAAAGCCAGGCGTGGAAGAGCAAAGGAAATGTGTAAGTTGTAAATCTGAACAAGAGATGAGCTACGCCTTGTCCAGGGTGGGATCTCCAAAAGGGCCACCACGCAGCTTTGGGGTGCCAGGGGAAACCCCACAGTCAGCAGATGCAGGATAATTAATCTTACACACCAGTCATCTCAGTGCAAAGTGGGGCCAAAAATCCCCAAATCATTTTAGGCAAAGTGAGAAGGGTCAAAGTGATGATGAGAAAAGAGTCTGTGACTAAGGAAACACCATGCTTGGGCTTTGTGGTGTTCAACTGTGTGACCTTGGGGACACATCTACATGTCTTGCCCATGCCTCACCTCCTCAGCTGTGGAAGGAAGCAGCTTCCGGAGCTCCCAGATGTTCAGGCACCAGCTGCCAGCACATTATGGTGATGGTGGCCACAGGAGCATGAAAATAGGAAAAGCTGAAGCTAGGTTATGAGAAAATCACTGGCATCTCCTTAAGGACAGAGCAGGGAAGGAACTGAAATGCATATCTGCTCTCTGGAAGAGCTCCTCCTCCAGACCCTGGCTCCAGTGCTGCAGCTGGACATTGAAGGAAGACTTCTGCAAGTATCTTGGAGGTGCAAGGCCAGGTGGGAGGAGGTGAGGTCACCCTGGAGAGATTGGGGCTGCAAGTGGTTTGGAAGGAGAAACGCCTTTTTATTGCACTTGTGTGCCTCAGGGGCCCTGGCACTGGTCTTGTGCTTAGAGGCTCCATTGCAATAGAAATTATAATGGACAATAAGGGATGATTTGCATGAGGGTGACTGCCGAAGGCATAGGGTGTACAGGGAAATAATAAGGGAGGAGAGGAAGGACTCCACAGAGACATTGGATCCAGGCAACCAGGGGCAGAGCATCTGGAGGAGAGCTAGGGACAGGAAAGGGTAGGGAAAGGGCAGGGGGCTGCTGAAAACAGGGGATGCAGTAGAGCACCGTATGCTGCAGGGATTGGCCAGAGCAGGCAGGTGGGACCAGCCAGAGGGGCAGGGAGAGGAGGCAGCTGGGTGCCCTGTAGCAGGAGTCAAAGGTGTCTCTCTGTACCTTTATTTGGGCCCAAAGAGAAGGAAAGACAGGAGACGGGAAGGACAAAAGAGAAGACTTGGAGAAGATGGTGGCACTGGGGAGAGGGCAGGCCCAGGTGCCCCTCGCTAGAGGTGCTGAGGAGCAGCCGACTGGAGCAGGGCCAGGGGAGAGCCAGGGGCAGGGGCTGCTGAAGCACATGGTGGGAAAGAGCTACAGCGCCGGTCACGAGTGCAAACTGGTGTCAGGTGGGAGAGGCTGCTGGGAGCACTGGGAGAGGGCTGGGCACAGAAATTAGGGTGGCAGGGTGCCCCAGGGACAGGAGGAGCAGGAGACAAATAGCAGGGGGAGAGCTCCTGAGGCCAAGAGGCACTGGCCCTACAAAGGCAAAGCAAGCAGCTCGGAAGCAGGAGGGTTGCAGAGCTTGGTGTGCCGGCCATGCTGGTCTGCTGGAGAAACCTCTGCCTGCCTGGCAAACACTGAGGGCAAACACCAGTTTGCCTGCAGCAGAGTGACCTCTTCCAGCCACAGCTGGGTTACAGAGGAGAAGGGGCAAAAGGCATTTGCTCTGCGCAGGGCTGGCCTCCAGCAGCCCTGACACCAGGAAGAAGAAAGCTCATGAGAGCTTCAAAGAGCCTGCCGGGAGCAGTGGGTGGGATTTCTGGCCCAAATCCGGTGCCCCTGGGGCTCTGGCTGCAGGGAGCTCCCTGCTTCTCACCACTGAGTGAGGAGACACCAGCTGCTGTGCCCAGGGGTTTTGGGAGGATGCTAAACCTACTGAATAATTTCAAAGGTAACTCATCCTGAACAGGCAGCTGACACCAAAAGGCATGCAGGCTTCCAGGCTGCTGGCTCGCTGCCTTCCAAGAGGTCATCTCCGCTGCTGGGAGCATCAGCCAAGCATGCCACAGACCCATGCGCGGTTTGTGACTGTCCCTGCTCCCAGAAGGATGCCCTGAAGCTGCCAAGCACTCAGCAGCAGGGTGACAGGTCGATGGCCTTGGCTCCAGCTGCAGGCTCCAGGGAGCAGGGCACAACGGGGGCTGAGCACATGGAACCGCAGGATTTAATACAAGGAGGAAAAGAGAGGTCTCATTCTCGCCCTTGTGCCAGCAGCAGCCTCTCTCCCCACAGTCCAGGATTAATGAAAAGCTTGTGCAGAGACGTCCTTACTGGTGTGACAGAGGAGGGGACATTGCTTGAGGGTCTGAGATGTGGTTTTGGCGGCCCCTGTGAACCAGCATGGCTCAGTGGGAACATAGTGTTTAGCAACCTTTTGCTGTATCCAGCAAGTCCTAGGAAGCTTTCAGGACAGCCCCGTGGGTAAGCACTGCAGGAGGGAGAGAAAAAAAGTCACTAAGATGTGGTCTGAATCCATCGCAGAGTCTTTTCAGAAAGCTCCCGGTCGATAAAAGCCTTTTAATATTTCTAGGTAGGACTCTGGGGCTGGTTTTCACAGCCTGCCACCGACATCTAGTGTTCAGCCAGGGGTGCCTTGGTGGTGCTCAGTGCTGCGGGCAGCAAAGGCCGGCAGCGAAGGACACGCAGCCCCGCGGTCTGCAACCCTCCAGCCACAAAGCTGGCCCCTGGATGCCCCGCTCAGGAAAGGGAAGAGGGGTAAAATCACCTGGTCCTTTCATCCCACACCCTCATGGCTCCAGCTGCCTGAGTCTGCTGAGTGCCGGCTGGTGGGCAGTTTGGGAATGGGAATGCATCCCTACTAGGAAGGGATGGAACCAGACTGCTCGTCTGCTGGGCTCAAACTGCAGAGGTACTGCTGGCAGGCAGTGCCATCAGCTGCCTGCCAATGCCATCCACTGCCTGGTAGTGGTGTGCACTGCCTGCCAATGCCATCCACTGCCTGGTAGTGCCATGCACTGCCTGGCTGTGTCATCCACGGACTCATAGTGCCATCCTTGCCTGCTAGTGCCACTGCTGCCTTGCAGTGCCATCTGCCGCCTGCTAGTGCCATCTCTGCCTGGTGATGCCATCGCTGCCTGCTAGTGGAATTGCTGCCTGGCAGTGCCATCCGCTGCCTGGCAGTGCCATCGCTGCCTGGCAGTGCCATGCCCAGCCTGGCAGCCTGAAGGGGGTGGAGGCAAGCCAGCGACATGGACATGCACAGTCCTTACCCACTGTAGGGTTGTCCCAAGGCAAACCCATGAAAGTCCCAGCCCGCAGGATAATGAAGAGAGCTGACTGTGCTGTCAGGATTGAAAACTGCCAGTGGCAGAGATGCTACACGAGCTGCATAAGACCTGCAAAAGGAACTCATTAACCCAGGAGCTGCTTAATATGCTGGAGGCTCGTGCACAGCCCTGGAGCTGCAGTAGGATGCCGTGCCAGGTTTCTCCTGCTCAGCCCCTCAGCGCAGAGGAAGGCAAGGGGATGCACACCGAAACCACAGCCGCCTTCTCTCTCACAGGCCAGGCAAGCTGAAGCCTGGCACTGCAGTGCCAGGGAGCTGTGACATGGTGGGAAGGACGCTTTTGTGCCCACGAGCATGGGTTGCACGATGGCACCTCAGTTCCCTGGTGCACCCTCGGGCTCAAAATGGCACTGCCCCGCTCCAGTGGCCACAGCGACCTGTTTTGCCTAGTTGGTAACAGCAACAGGTCACTCTTCCAGGTCTTCTCTGCTCCCAGGGGTTTCCCGCCCAAAGGCATTACAGCACTTGGCTTCACAAGGTCAACCCATAGCAGACCCGGGGTGCAAACCTCACCTGAGGGTGTTTTATGGCACCCCAAGCAAATGCAAAGAGGCACAGCCCAGCCCTTGTCCACTCCACAGGTACCCTACAGCAGGGGTATTGCCTGAAACACGTTATGTCTTTTTATACATTTCCCAATTATTTTTCCTTTTTTTTTTTTTGTTATCTCAGGTCCGGGATAAGAAACTCCTCAATGACTTAAATGGAGCAGTCGAAGATGCCAAGACAGCCCGGCTTTTTAACATCACCAGCTCAGCCCTTGCCACCTTCTGTATCATCCTTATCTTCATCTTTCTGCGATACCCCCTCACTGACTACTAGAGTGAGGCCAACAGCAGCAGCTGCCGCCAAAATGCCTCTATGCCAGAAGTGTCTGCAGTTGTTTCTTGTAGCAAGGACGCAAAAAAAAAACAACCAACCACCAACCACACTCCACCTTGATTGCAAAAAAAAAAAAAAGCCAATTAAATACATAAATAAAAAATAAATGAGTTGATCAGCCCAGCTGAGCATACCCTACCTGTCCCCAAGCAGTTTTGCTGTAGGAAAGGGTCTCTTACACATGTACAGGGAGAAAAATAGACCAAGAAATATTTATTTTATGGCCAACAAGCCGTGTGACAAGAGCGTGCCAAGTCGAGAGCAACGCATGCCTGGTGGCAGAAAGCTGAGCTCTGGGGAGCAGCGGGGTCCTGCTGAGCAGGAGGTGTGTGCAGTGATGGATGGTGTCCATGGCAGGGCTGGCTCACAACATATCAGGTGGGTTCAGACCATGCCACCACCCCAGATGTACTGGTGTTTCTTTTCCTCTCTTGAGTTTCATCCACTGGTTGAAACAACTCCCAAACCCTGGAGAGCTGAGGGTGTTAGGAAGTTCATGCTAGGGAGCCCCAAAGCTCCAGAGAAACCTCAAAGCATTAAAGGGCAGGTTTCTCTTCAGGAGCTCCCGGCAACACTGAGAAGGAAGGCACCTTCTGAAGAACTCGCCTAAGCCCCCTAAAATGAGTGCTACTGTACTTCTGTAAATGGTCAATAAAGATACCTCTGATATCTGATGCTGCTGGGTTAATTCCTTCCTTAGGAGGGCCGGGCTCCTGGTCCCTACAGGCTGGCAAGAGAAAATGCTAATGTAACCAGCAGCTGCTTGGGAGAGATTTAAAGCAGGTGTGAGGGATGCTGCTGCAGGTCGGGGCCGCATGCAGCCATAAAAGAGGGCGCAGATCCAGATTTAAGATCAGAGACCTCAGTGACTCCCGTGACGGTCGATCAATGGCAGGCCAGCAAACGCAGCCCAGTGGGCAGGTCCCCCCTCCCCTGCTAGGACCAAGGCTGAAGATGGAAATAAATCACTGCAGTATGAACCTGCAGCACTTCCCGGGGTTGTTACCGAGCACCAGATTTGAGAGACATGGCACGTCTGCTGCTGAATGAGGCAGGCGCTCGGAGCTCTTCCTGACCGCTGCCTGCGGCTGCTTGCAGAGCTGCAAATCAGCACACCCTGCCTTGACAGCACCCCAAATGAATGGCAAAAACAGGAGTAAAATGCAGCTTTTCAGCGCCCCTGACCCTTCATCTCATCTCATATGCCACAGCTGCCTCATCTTTTTCCAGTTGTAAGATGACCTCGCATTGAGGGAGATGTGTTGCCACAGATCAGCTGTGGAGCCAGGAGGATGTGACAGCATCCACCTTTGTGCCCACCACGAAAATAGGTGCAGCAAGAGATGAGGACCTCAGGCAGGCTGGCAGATCAGCCATGGAGCCAGTAGGAGGTGGCAGCGTCCACCTCTGTACCCACCACTAAAGCAATGGTGCAGCAAGAGCTGGAGAATGCAGACAGGCTGTTGCAGGACTTCATTCTCTGCTGAGTGTGTGGTTAAATCAACACGCTGGCTGTGGGCTGTGCTCAGTGAGGGCTGTGACATAGTGGACCGTGGGGACACAGCATGAGGATGCTTTCCCGAAAGCCTCATGAGATGTCACCTCCTTCCTGCCCAGGTCTCCAAGCCTTAACCCTGGCCTGGGCTTCATTTATGGGGGAAGCTACATGGAGAAGGACCCGCAGTCCTATCTGCTCGCCACTCACTGGAGAGCATTTCCATACCAGGCCAGATCAGAGGGCTGTTTTGCACTGAGGTTTCTGCTGGCACTTCAGTACATGGTGCCCTGGGAAGCATCTCAGCCATGAACCACTTTATGATCACTCATCCAGAGGCTAAGACTCTTCCCAACCTCCCTGGGTTACCTCTTTCCCTGAAGCAAGATCTGAGGGATCATAGCCACTGGCATTTCCATCCTAACATATCTAGGGGGTGTATCCAGCCCTTGTTCCTGGCAGAGGAAGGAGGCCTGTCACGATGGCAGTGCCTCCAAAGATGGTACAGCCGAAATGGCTTGCGTTGCAGTCACCCTGAGGTAGCACTTCATAATTGGAGAATATTAAAGCCCACTGGGACGATGCTAGTTTAGGCAACACCTGGACTACTCACCCCAAAATGCTCCGAGGGCTAGGAGGAGCACAGACATGAGGTTGTACCACCTCTTCCCTCTCCCTGTACTTGTGCTGAGCTCACGTTGGCCATTCCCAAGGTCTTGGCTCAATATCCTCCACCATCTGGGTGCCCATTGTACCTCTCAAGCTCTGCAGCTCAAGCGCAGGCCCGGCAATATGGGCTTGGGGGATAATTCATGCAGTGTTGGTGGCTCAAAGATGCAGGTTTAGGTCCCTGCAGGACCAACATGCCTGGTGCCTCTTGCAATAACAAGTGCATTCTTCTCTACGAGCTGGGACTCGTTGGAGCCATGCTGCCAGCACTTTTGTGCTTGGAGACACACACACTCCCCCCTCCCCAACTCTGTGCAATCTTGCAAGGATGGTGCCACCATCCCCATCTCCCGTGCCACACAGGAGAGAGCCGCTCTGCTTGGCATGCAGGCGTGGGGCTGCTCAGATAAAGGCAGAGCTGACACAAAATTGGAAGTGACCCAAATCCAGCCTTTACTACATTTAACAAGTGTGACAAATGAGTTACCATCATCCCTTCCCCTGACGGACCGTCTTATCTGCAGGAAAATGGATGCTGGTTTAATGAACTGGGGGGAATATTGAACTGACTCTGCAGAATTTTTGCATGCATAAACCATCAGGGGTGGAGAGGGTGGGGTATTATTAGTCACCATCGTATTTATTATTTGTTACCCATGTTGGAGAAGGTGTGAATGCTGAAATTGCTGTGCTGCAGCAGGTTGGAAGTCCACCCAGACCTGCCTTGGACAAGAACAGGGTAGCAGAGGAGGATTCAGTAACCCCGTGGCTGGAGGATGGGATAATTGACCACCAGCTGATGCTCAGCTCTACCAGAGCCCTCACCTTAGCTCCACCTGTGGCTCTGGGCTGGGAGCAGCAAAGCACCTGTGCTCTCCCCTCCTCTCTCTCAGTGCCTCCCATCCATTTTAATGGATCCCCTCCAAACTCATGGCAGTAGGAAAGCACCCCCAAATAGGGAAAATGAGGGAGGGGACATAGATTGCCAAGATTGCTTAGGGAAAAAAAAAAAAGGCATTTATTCATGCAAAGGTCTTCCAAGTGAAGTAGCATCAAGGTGCTTATCATTCACTTCATCTTGCCAGGGTTGGAGAACCTCAAATTGAGACAGCAAAACTGCGTCCCCACATACTGGCAGGCAGGTACATCCCAGATTGTGCCGACTGTGCTGCTAAGCGAAAGAAAGAAGGGGGTTTTTTTGTATTGAGGAAACAAGGGAAAGAAAATCAGCAGCCAAATCTGACAGGTCCTCTAATTGCTTTTTTTTTTTTATTTTGCAAGAAAATTCTGGAAGCTGAGGTTTTGCCAAGGCTGACACCCGCTGCAGCAGAAGGCAGGCTTTCGAGGGTTGCTTCTCTGCCTTTTCACTTCTGCCACTCACAACGTCGCACCGCGCTCTCCAAATCGCACCTTTTTTTGGCTGTGAAGCCGCAGCCTCTGTTGCACTCGGCAGCGGATAAGGAAAACCGAGAGGAGGGGGTGGAAGAGAGGAACAGCCCAACGCTGCTGGAGAGGCATCTTTCGAGATGGGGAAGAAGAACTGACGGTCACGTTGCCATGTAGAGATTTAATTGTATTCTTTCAGGAAACCGAGCTTGACAGCTTGATGAGGATTTCTTTTTGCTTTTTCTTTAGCTGGAGGGGAGAAAGGGGCGGGGGGGAAGGGGGCAGATGAGGAGTGATTGTTCAATTTTAGTTGGCATTATGAGATTGTGCCTAAAATACTGCTGCTGGGTTTGTGCCCCCGGTACGTGAAAGGCGTTTGGGGTAAGCGTGGGGACAGGCCACCAGGGCTGGTGGAGCGGTGGGTTTGCCCGGGGAGGAGACGCTGTGGGGAGGGGGCTCGTTCACTCAGCGAGGCGATGGCTTCGGGGGGGAAGGGGGGGTCCTCACGGCGACCCCAGCACCTGGGAGGAGGCCAGGTCTCCCCGGGCGGGAGCGGAGGCGCCCGGCGAGGCGCCATGCAGCGGGAGGCAGGCAGAGGGCGCCCTCACACCGCCAGCCCGTCCCCGCGGCCTCCGGGCAGCCCGGCAGGCTCCGGGCCCCTCGCCCCGGGCAGGGAGCGGGGCTCCATCCCCGCTCGTCCCGAGCAGCCGGGACACCCTCCCACCACCCCCACGGCCGGGGAGGTACGAGCCCCCGGGCAGGGCGAGCGCTGGTCTGTGCAAGAAGCGTTATGTGGGGGGAGGGTGGCTCCTGTGCCCTAAAACCCACCCGGAGCGGGTGGGAGCGAGGTGACGGGGGGCTGGAGGGTCAGTGTTACGAGGAGAGGCTGAGGGAGCTGGGGGGGTTCAGTCTGGGGAAGAGGAGGCTGAGGGGGAACCTTATCGCTCTGTACACCTACCTGAAAGGAGGGTGTAGAAAGGTGAGGGTCGGTCTCTTCTCCCAAATCACAGGCGACAGGACAAGAGGAAACAGCCTCAAGTTGCACCAGGGGAGGTTCAGGTTGGATTTTAGGAAAAATTTCTCCAGTGAAAGCATTATCAAGCATTGGAACGGGCTGCCCAGGGAAGCGGTTGAGGCACCATCCCTGGAGATATTCAAAAGACGAGTTGACGCAGTGCTCGGGAATATGGTTTAGTGTTGGGGTTTTTTTCTGGTTGTGTTTTTTTTGTTTGTTTGGGTTTTTTTGGTCAGAGTTAGGTTGATGGTTGGACTAGATGATCTTAAAGGTCCCTTTCATCCTAAGCGATTCTGTGATTCAACACAGAAAGGACATGGACCGGCTGGAACAGGTGCAGCGGAGGGCCACAAAGATCAGCAACGGGAGGGAGCACCTCTCCTATGAAGACAGGCTGAGGGATCTGGGATTGTTCAGCCTGGAGAAGAGAAGGCTCCGGGGAGACCTTATAGCGGCCTTCCAATACCTGAAGGGTGCCTATAGAAGAGCTGGGGAGGGACTCTTTGTCAGGAGGTGTAATGATAGGACAAGGGTAAATGGTTTTAAATGGGGGAGGTGTCCCTGCCCATGGCAGGGGGGTTGGAACGCGATGATCTTTGAGGTCCCTTCCAACCCAAACCATTCTATGATTCTGTGATTCTGTGACAGCCCCACACAGGGACGTGTCCCTTCAGCAACCAGGACACGTATACGTCACGCTGGTGCCCGGGCTCTGTTACACATTTACCCTCCACGCTGGCAGGGAGAGGTGGCCGGGGGCCAAGCAGCACCCAGGGCGGGTGTGTGGCCCGCGTGTGAGCAAACCCCGCTGCGCTTACGCAAGCCTCGGTGCTGGCCCCTGGCTCTGCCCCCGCTGCCACGCAGGGCTCCGTGATGCCACCCCTACGCAAATGCCACTCAGCCAGTTTGCAAGCAGCAGCGCATCGAACCCCAGCTGGGATGAACTGGTTTGGGTTTGGTCAGTAAACATGACCCTGCCAGCTCTCCTACGTCTAGAGGCTGGCGGTAACAGACATGGAGAGCTGGAGCTAATTCAGGTAACAACCTTCCAGCCCAGCGCCGGCATCCGCCGGTTCCCACGCCGGGGGTAAGCTGCCAGGTGTGCAGGC